GTTAAAAGCATTCTTATACAAGATAACTGGCAAGAAGGTGGTGCCCTTGTACAGAAAATTTTAATAGAAGCTCTGCTCTGCTGACGAAGTTAAAGATAGTTGGTCTAAGGAAAACAACAAGCGAGTTTTCAATACACTCTCTACCAAAGTTTAAGGATACCTGCAAACTGAAACTCTACACCAAACTCTACTCTTTATACTTTTTGAAATTTTCATCAAAAAGTGGGAAAAATAGTGTACCTTTATCGATTAATTAACAACAACAATTACTGCCAAAAAAAGAAAGTCACGTACAGGAATACATGTCTACTTTTGGATAATAGAGTTGCATTGGTTACCTTAAGAGGTTACGATGTTTACACCGAGATCTACAGAAGCTGAAAAAGCGTAGGTCGCTTAACTTTGCTCAGAGACAAGCACTAGTACAAGAATATATTGTAGGATACCGCACCGAACTCAGTGAGACCGCAAGAGAAATTTCGGACTTGGCCTCTACTCAAGAATAGATATTTTATATATTTTAAAATAGACAAAAGTAACTAGCATAAAGTTTAGACTAGATTATTTAGTAGTCTATATAATTTTTACAATTCAGTATGGGTTTAATAGTGCTATCTTTGTTTTCTTTTATTTTATTTTATTTTTTTTATATGTTTTTTTTGGTTTTATTTATTTAGGTGAATTGAATCTGGATACCGAAATATCACCTCTTTTTTTTTGCTCTTTGTTTTGTGTCTGTATTTCGTAGAAAAGATGATATTGATAGGTGTATGACACCAGCCAATGATCAAAGAATTTATGCTTCTAGGAAGTTAGAGACACAAAAAAAGATAAACAGCCACTAGACAATGTCGCACCTAGGCTTTAAGCCGAGTGAGTTACTTGTTGCGGTTAAAGAAAGATTAGCTATAGTTAAATTTTTATAATTTTGCTTGGTTATTATCTTAATAAAACAGTAGCAGAACATGCCAAAAAAAAAAAAAGTAGTATAATCAGAATCTATTATTGAAAGCGATTTTGTGATGATCAAAGAGTATAAATTTGTATATAACAGATTGTATGAATATATTGCCTAATAGGCAATTCAATTGAAAAATTATTAAATTAAAGAGTATACTTTGGATTGTATATATTCTGAAAATTAAGTTCTATAAATAATATAATGAAGTGACTTTGAGCAAATTGATTAGCAAGGTTATTATATTTATCATCTTGGTGTATATTAGCTTTGTGAAAAGTAACTTGTAATTTATATGAGTTAATAAAATTGATTAAAGTATATTATAATAAATGATATAAAGTATTTGTAAATTGTAAATCAAGTAAATCTTAGCTAGTACTATTATATTTAAAAATTACTAACTATAAATCTAAATAGTAATGTACTATATAGTTCTTTGATGAGTGCAGAAAGTATTGCAAAAAATTCAGCTTTAAATAAATATGCCAAAGTTTAATTTGTACTTAAAAGATATATTGAACTCTGTTATATTGAATTTGAGCTTATCCAATTTCCATAAAGCATTAATATAAGTCTAACTGTATTACTAAGCTATCTGTATAAATGAAAATTCTGGTAGGTTAGAATTGTAATTAGCAATAACTTGTAAAGTCTTTATCAAAAGACAATTTTTAAAAGTAATAGGATAGATAAAGTAGAAATTAAAATATTAGTTGTTGTTAAGATCTGAAAAGGATGTCATATAACAATAAAAAATAAGAGATCTAAGTAATTTGTATTAAGGTTAAGTACTTTGTCATGTAGATTAATTCGTCTAAGAAACTTAGTAGCTAAATTAATTGAAATTAAGAAGTACAATTATTTGCAATAAGTTAAAATTTAAAAAGCAGTTTGTATATAGTCTGGAAGTTATTAAAGGTGTAGGGTAAAGTTGAGTAAATTGGAATTCAATAGAACAACTCCAATATATAATTAGAATATAACTACTTGATATAGGACTGTCAATATATTTTTTCTATAATAATTTAATTATTAAATATAGTTATAATCCAAGGTTTTGACTATATAAAGAAGTATCTAGTTGTATAACTATAATAATTAGAGCTAGGAAGTTGAATGTAGTTGTAGAGTATTCTTATATATGTATAACTAATTATTAAATCTTCTAAGGATACAAACCAAGTTAACATTTTTTCTTTAGATAATTTGTCTAATCATAATGAAATATGTTTCCAGTTAAGAAGACAAGAATTATCAAATGATGTTAGCTGCTTTAAGAATATAATATGATAATATCTAAGTTATTTTTTAAAGATAATATAATTAGAATGAAAAGATAGTATAGATTCAAGTAAAGTTGAGCCTGTAATAGTATATAGTATAAGAAATGAAGAGTTTTGTGGAATAGACAACTCAAGATATTTAAAAAGTTAAATAATTTTAAAATTAGTAGAATGTTTATTAGGACCATCGATTATTGGTTTTGGATGTAATAGAATACTAGTAAAAGATTAAAGGTTGTTTTGCAGCTATTGGAGTCTGATACGAGTGCTAGTGTCTAATAAATCTTGATTATTAAGATATTTAGTATAATTTAAAATATATTGTTGTAACTAAATATTATAAACATTATATAGTTGAGAGTGAAAAAAAGTAGAGGTAGAAATTGTTCAGCTAAGTTTAGCTTTGTATTTAATAAGTCTAATATAATGTAAAAGAATCTTTTTGCAAGTATCTTGGCTTAAAACCAAGTTTTGAAGATAATATTCTATTGTAGAAATAATAACAATATTGACAATATAGTGAGTTTGAATATCAATAATTTATTTAGTTCTAGCAATTTTAATAAGATATAGAGATTCACTAATGATGAATTGTGTTTACTGGGAATATTTGTTATCAAGTATAATCCAGCAATCTAAAAACTTAAAGGGTGTATGAAGTGAGTGTAATGAAAGTATATAATTATTAAAGATAATAAGATTGTAGTTAGTTGATAGGTTATTTATAGTAAGAATAGATTTAACTGAATTAACTTAGATATTAGCTATATTATAGAAAAACTCTGCAATAGAGAAAATTTGTAAAAGTTCAGATTGAGAAGATACTATCCATAGGGTATCATCCATAAAGACAAGAACAAAACAGTTTGTATTGAGATGATTAAATATTTTGTTTTTCAAATTTGTAATCCAGGATGTTTGAGATATATATTCTAAAAATTAAGAATGAAAATAGACAATTAAAGGGTTGTAATAAATTCTCCAAAGTAAAGAGGTAATAGTTTCTCCTTGATCAATTCTATTTTGAACTAAATATGAAGAAGCGAGACCTAAGTTTGTAATAACTTTATTATATTGGTCAGTAAATATATTAATAATTGAGTTGAAAATATTATCTGATAGTAAAAAATGAGAGAGAAATTATTATAGTAAAGTAATATTAATAGAGTCATATGCTTTACTTATATCTTAAAACAGAAGCCATATGTCTTGATAGTTACAGTTTATATCTTTAATAGGGTTATTAAGAATATGAATAGGTGTTGAAGTACTGTTGTCAGATAGAGCAACATAGTTAAAGGAAATAAGATAGAGTATTAAGAAAAGAAAATATAATATTTAAATAAACTCAAATTATAAAAAGGTTATAAATTTTTTAAAACAAAAAATCTAAGAAACAATAACAAATTTAGTATATACTTTAATAGACAAATTATAAGCTATCTAAATATAATTTTTTTTTATATATAAATTTTACTATAGGCTCAAAAGTAAAGTATGTCTATCTAAACCTTTTTTACTAAGTAAATCATTTTTAAACTTTTAACAAAGTTGTAAAGCTCTTTAAAATGCATTTAATAATAATATAAACATTAAAATTAGCTTAGTAGTTCTTAAAAATCTTTAAAAAACCTTTTACTAATATATAAAATTTTTTAATTTTTTTTAAAGAAATTTTATATATTAGTAAAAAGTTTTTTAAAGATTTTTTAAGAATTACTAAGCCAATTTTAATATTCTTATGACTATTAGATGCATATTGAAGAGCTTTATAACTTTTATTAAAAGTCTAAGAGTAATTAACTTAGTAAGAAAAAAAGTTTTAAATAGATGTGCTCTATTTTTAGACTTATAATAAAATTTATATAGTATATAAAAAAATTTTTTATTTATATAACTTATGATTTGTCTATTAAATAAATATATTATAAAATAGTTATAATTAATTTTTATCTATAGTGATATTAATAGGTGTAGCAACTTAGTGAAGTAATTAAGTTGTTACCCCCAAGTAGCACATCCAGAGTTCAATTTCTACCAACAACAAAAAATCGAATTCTCTTGTATAATGATAACTACTGTAATTTTTGGCAAATAGTACTCCTTGTTAGTGTACTCCCTACAATTTATATCTAGGATTAATCAAGTATATTGTGCGTATATAAGTGTAAAAAACCTGGGTATATCTAAAACTTCTGTTGATTGGTTAAAATTTTTGAGGTCTTGATTGGTTATGATTATTTAGTGTACATCTTTTACTAATAATTACTTTTATTATATGAACCGTGTGCAGCACACAGAAATAAAAATGCAGTCATAAAATTGTGATTTTATGCTGTTTTGTTCAATTATGAAAATAAATCATAAAATAAATTAAAGTTTTTAATTAAAGCATGTGCAAAATGTATATATTTATTATGCTTGGTTTGTATTTGTATTTTCTAAAAAGAAAAATTAAATTCTCTTTACAAAATTGGCCTCCAAAAATTCAGTAAATAAGAAAAATAAGAAGGATTGTTCAGTATTTGTTAAAGTTTTTAAAGCCAGGAGTTAAAATAGTTTTCTATTTTTAAATTATCATAATGCATATCAAATCTTTGTCTCCAAAATTCAAAAGATTATTTTCACCAAACTATTGATCAGATTTATTGTTATCATCATGATTTCTAACCAAGTCACTTAGATCCTTTATAGTTTCTAACCGATTTACCAGATACTTCATAGTTTCTAACTGAATTACTAAACTTTTCACAGTTTTTAGCTAATTCGCTAAATCCTTCACAGTTCCTAGCCAATTTGCTAAACCCTTTACAGTTTTTAGTTGATTTACTGAACTCTTTACAATTTCTAACTGATTCGCTGAACTCTTCACAATTTTCAACTGAATTGTTGAACTCTTCATAATTTCTAACCAATTCATTAGGCCCTTCATAATTTCTAACCAATTGATTAGACTCTTTATGATTTTTAACTGATTGATTAGACTCTTCATGATTTTCTTCTTCAGCAACAATATGAGATAAAGATTTACCCACCTTTATAAAACTATAATCAAAGATTTGTTTGTCTTCAGAGCTATTACAATTGTTTAAAATCCTACAACACTTAAATGAACATCGAATAAGTGCTGGATCAATTTCATTTCAGGCTTTTTGAACCCATTGAGCAACAACATTGTAAGCAGGCTTCTAAAATTTTTCTGTAGATGTTAACTTCTTGATTGCTTCAGCTATCCATTTATTATAATAATTATGAATCTATATTTTATTAAATAATTAATGCTTAAGATTAATACAAAGGTTGTAAAATAAAAACAAATTGTACAAATTTCTATAGCCAATAATCATTTTCATCTCAAAAATTTAGATAGCATAGTGCTGTTCCTTTAAGAATAGTTGGTTTCAAATCATTTTGAATTTCTATCGTCAATTTTACTTTTCCCTAATCTAATTACCCACATAATTATTCTAAATTAATAAATATTTAATGCTTTAATATAAATACCTTGTCTTTAAAGGGTTTGTTTATAGCTATATTTAATGGTTGTAACCAAGAAATTAATCTACTAGAAATTACTGCTAAGTCAGTTTTCTTTTTCTTAAATCGTTGTTTGACAGAGTCCACAAGATGATCACTAAATGAATCAATTACTAACAAAGAACGTGAGTCAACAGAAGGAGGTGCACGGTGATTCCATATATTCTTAATCCAAAATAACATTTCGTCTGTATTCATCTAACCTTCTTTATTAGCTCTAATTTTTACTCCTGCTGGAAAATTTTGTTGTGATACATTTTTAAGTTTAAAAATAATTAGCAAAGCAATTTAGAACCGTCTAATATACAACAAAGAGCAATGGTAAAATTTGATTTTTCATATTCACAGGTTTTAATATTAATACTGCGAGCTCCAGTTTCGTCAATTGTAAAGTTACTTGGCAAGTCAAAGGAAAGTGAAGTTTCATCCATATTGCCAATTAGCTTTAAAGAATATTCATGTTTCATTTGTTGAAAAGAACTAAACTTAAAAATTCCTGTTGCTTTTCCTTATAATCTTCAGATAACCATTGTAAAACAGTGGTGTGGCATTGATTGCTCAAATGATAACGATTTATAAAACTATCTAACCATTTATAGCTCTATTGAAAAGTTGAAATATTAGGATAAAGTAATAAAAATCATTATGATTGTGCCAAAGTTTTGGCTTTAACTTGAACTATGCTATGCATAACTGCTTTAAGTTTAGCCCTCAATGCATGTACCCAAGTATTTAACTCAACTTCTAGTTCAGAATACTTCAGGTGGAAGCCAGTATTTAACTGACAGATATGTGGATATACAAGCATTAAATTTTTTTTTTTTGAACGCCAATCACAAAATTGCTTTGGCTCAATCCCAAATTTAAGTGATGTACTATGAATACGTGTCTGTGTTTTTTCTTGGTAGGTTATTATTGCTAGTTTTTTTGTGTGCAT